ATCTACAGACTGGCTATCTGGCACAAATGATGTTGACAAAAGCTGCACAAAAAATTACAGATATTCAATAAGGGGAAATGGGATAAAGGCTACTTCTGCCTCCTCAGATGTGACAAATGAGTAACTGAAGAATGTGATTGCTCCAGCTTATGCCCAGTCATCATTTAACAAATTTACTAGTCAAGATAAATGTATCAGCAAGTAACAGGTAAAAGATTATCAGTGCATCAACCAACTTCTGTATTAAGCACTCTAATAAAAGCATCATAAACTAAGAGCTTTGAACTTGCCTCAAGTTACAAAAGAAGGGGTACACAAGAGCTCCCTTGCTGTATTCCCTAGGGCAGACCAAGTATCTAACACTGGGGACTGCTCATCAATAGGATAATCATTTGGGAAACTGTAGTGCTGGTTCACCAGATCATGCATATTTTGTTAAACGAACATCTGCCTTACCAAATGGGCTCTCATGTGGTGTCTCCTGACATAAAAGAGTTACATCTGCACTTTTAATTGGCATAACAGTTCAATTATTTGATCAAATGTCTGGTTGTTGCTTTCATAATCCTCCAACACACTAAATCTGGTGATAACTTTGGCTTTAAAAGAGCCTTCATGGTTGCATCAAAAAGAGTAAAAAGGTTACTTTAAAATGGCCAAATCCCCAATGTCAGATGAAAAGAAGTGAAAATATTTTTATCGCATACTTTAAAGTTAGGACTAATCCATAAAATGTGTATACTTGAGGATGAGGGCTTAGTTCTGCTGACCTCCATCTCTCAGGATACAGGAATAAAACAGGCCTTCTTTTTCTTGGCTTTAGGACCTTATTGACAACCTATGAAATTTAATGGAAAGACTTCAGTGGATTGTTTTGTGGGGGTTTTTTAAAGGCAGACAAGCATTACAACAGAGCTCCTTCTCATTCAAGGATATTCTGATGGGTAGACTATCTCTCTAAACTCCTGCTTGGAGACTCCCCCAAATCAGAGAAAATATAATTCTGCTTCTCAGAAGAGAACAACTCTGCGGGGCTCCAAGGGCACTGACCCTACAAGCCTTAATAAACGCACTGAACTGCAGGACTGAAAATCACTACAAAGCTAGAAAAAGGCCAATACATGTGATAGAAAGACAAGAATTTTACTATAAAAGCAGAAGTCTATGAAACAGGCGAGTGGAAGAAGTAGACTGCAAGTACAAATAACACACAGTAAAAGTTTGCTAGAAAAATAACACCATTTTGTTAGGGAAAGTATGTAGCATCATCAAAGAGAAGACAAGCAAGAAAATGGAAGAAAGCAAGCCTTTGGTGAGCCTTTTACATGTTATTCATAAAAATCAGCCTTATAACAGCACTGCAAACTACCATTAAGTCAATGGATTGTGTACTACCAACTATCAATCAGATCTGTGATGTTCTGTAATACCTTACAGGTGGGGAACATGAAGCACACAGCACATACCCACCATGGCAAGGGGGTTGGACTAGATGATCTTTAAAGGTCCCTTCCAACCCAAACCATTCTATGATTCTATGATTTAAGTTAAAAAAAAATATATGTTGGTTTGTAGAACAGGTAGCATGGTTTAGGCAGCAAGACTGCCCTGGACAGCTGTGCCTGCCAAGGTGTTAGGCAAGGCATTTAAACTTTTGCAACTACATATACTTTCCCACCTTTCATCTGGCTTGTTTATTTGTATAACAGGCTATAAGAGGCAGGGCTCTCTCGCATACCTTCTGAACAAAAGGTAGCTCAAGGGAAACTCATTATATTACTCTGATACTATCAAAAAATGTCACTGCACATGGCCAAAATGTAGGGGAGGATGATTATGAAGAGACAGCAGTGGAAGCCTCTGCTCTAGGAACAACAAAATGTATTTCAAAAAAGAGCAGCCTCATCATGCTATCAAGTCTGCACATACAGCATAGTTTAACCACATCAGTATGTGGTACAACTGCGTACGTGTATGTGGTACAAGTGTGGCGTAACTGTGTACATGCAAATAAAAGCATATGTGAAATTGGAGAACGGATGACACCTTGGATTATCACTCAGGCTGCCACTAGGAAGACGCCAATTACATCTGTTTCATGTATTTTTATCACATAAAATTCCATTCTTGCATGGTAGTAGCTAATTTAGTGCCTATCTTCATGGTAGCATAGTTACAGTTATTTTTTCTGTTCACTGATTTGCATATTTCATTGTTGAATTTCATCCTCCCTTTTATCATGCAGTGTTTTCTGCCATAAGATCTGATACTACTAAAAAAATGTCACTGCACATGGCCAAAATGTAGGGGAGGATGATTATGAAGAGACAGCAGTGGAAGCCTCTGCTCTAGGAACAACAAAATGTGTTTCAAAAAAGAGCAGCCTCATCATGCTATCAAGTCTGCACATACAGCATAGTTTAACCACATCAGTATGTGGTACAACTGCGTACGTGTATGTGGTACAAGTGTGGCGTAACTGTGTACATGCAAATAAAAGCATATGTGAAATTGGAGAACGGATGACACCTTGGATTATCACTCAGGCTGCCACTAGGAAGACGCCAATTACATCTGTTTCATGTATTTTTATCACATAAAATTCCATTCTTGCATGGTAGTAGCTAATTTAGTGCCTATCTTCATGGTAGCATAGTTACAGTTATTTTTTCTGTTCACTGATTTGCATATTTCATTGTTGAATTTCATCCTCCCTTTTATCATGCAGTGTTTTCTGCCATAAGATCTTCTGAACCTTTTGGTGGTCTGTCTGTTTCAGCGGTTCAGACTGATTCTTTACCGTCAGCATACTCCACCTCAATCCTCACACCACCTTTTCAAAATTGTTTCTGAAGATACTGAATGCAGGTCTCAGAATGGATCCCTATGGGATGTCACTGGGATTTCTCCATTCTAAAAAAAGGCCATTTATTCCTATCCTTTAACTTCTAACTTTTAATTCGTGTCTCAAAGAATCTTCACTCTCATCCTATGAGAGACTAGTCTCTAAAAAATATTTCTTGAAATCTGTCTCCAAAAGGTCTTTAAACTAAAATACACACATATTGACCTGATCATCCTCATCCATATGTTTATTGTCTTCACGGAATAACTCAGAAGATTCATCATGCATTATTTTCTTTTACAAAAAAAAAGAGTTCAACTCTTCCCCAATATCATGTCATTCCTCTTTATTATAATTTCTATTAATTTCCTTCATATGGAAATCAAACATATTGGTCTGTTCCTGCCAAATTCAGCCATGGAGTCCTCTTATAATATTTGGTTATATTGCAATTTTCCATTCCTCTGATTCCAGGACTGCACATCACATAGTTCATAAGTTCTGTGTTTTGGTTCCCTCAAAGCTCTCGGGCATCTGCCATATGATCCCATCCTTTGTTTCTTTTTCTTTTTCCCCCTAAAACTTCTCCAAACATTTCACAGTCAAAAATGAACCCACAGATACATCATCTGTTCCAGACATAATTATGCAGTGCCTAATTTTTAATAAAGTCCTTCAATATAGATAATGAAAGTTTTCCATATACTAAAGAGAAAAGAAAAACAATTAACAAAATAGGCCATACTTTCTCACATTAGCTAAGTTTGGGGAAAAAAACAGTCTGAAAAGCTGAAAAAAGTTGAAAAGTCTGAAAAGCAGATCTACATAGGCAGCATTTTTGTCATTTGTGTCATCATGTTCACCTGAAGAAAGGCCTGTTGGCAGTGTGTCATATGCCTTAATTATGTGGCAGCCAACTTTATTCTTGGACTCCAAATGCTCCCCATGGTTTATTTCCAGGTAGGTACTTTCTTATGCAGTAGAGTGGCAGGTGACATTTGATTGTAAAAGCAAAAGATTCCAGTATCATACTAAAGTTTGAAAAGGCAGCATAGATTTGTCTTACACACCTCTCTGGCTGGATGGCATAAGAATTAAGAAATGACAACCCACCTTTCCACCTCATCATACAGGCAAGATGATTTTACAGGTAAAGTAACCCCTATTTTTTGCATCTTAAAGGAGGAAGGTTTGTGCAAAGGTCCATATACCTCTAAGAGTAAAAGCTCTTTTATGAGACAATATGATACATGCCAGGAGTTTGCTATGAGCTATTCTTATTATCTTTACCAAACCTCTCCCTTTTTTTATTTTTTTTTAACAAAGAAAAAAATCTGGAACCAGTCTATTTTATTTCACAGCTCTGAATACTCTACTAAAGTGTACATGAAATAAACTATTTGCAGTAGTCCTTGTTGAGCAACCATGCTTTTTCTTAAGGTTAGACAGTCAGAGTTGACAGAAAATGACTATTCTTCTAAACGCGTTACTGTAACTCAGAAGACAGACTCTTAGCCTTAATAACAGCAACAATGATAATAAACAATAGTGTTGTTAGTAATAGAATATATTTCTAAATGTCAGTAATGGTATTTTTAAACAAAAAAGGCTAGCAATGTACTGTAAATGTGTGCTATGAGGAACATTAGCATGTAGCTGCCAGACAATCTCAATGAAGGATTTCATTGTTGAATTATGAAATCACTGTGTTTGATATTATTATACACAGACACTGCAGATCTGATGCAGATCACAGTCAAGAAGGATTCCAAGCAGCCTCAGAGGTCATCATTAACCCTCTGCCAAGCAGAGTTTATAGATAATTGTTAAATAAATCTATAGATTATACCTAGTTCTAGAACAGTTTCTAGAGTGTTATTTGCTCATTGTGATGAAAGCATGGTTAAGGTAGAACAGAAAACGTTGTTTTCTGTTTTTCTCTAGACCACATAGATACGTAACGACACACCCATGTACCATTTTCAAATGGCTGAGCACAAAATGTCATTTACAGATTCTTCCTTTCAGACACATCTGTTCTGCACCTGTTTTCTTAATGTTTGTTTCTATAGATCGTCTCCCGATATTCAAAATACTTGCCCTCTCACAGAAACTTTCACTTGGACACATGAAAATGTATGAACAATCCTCCTACCTTTAGCAGGTAAGCTTGGCAGTCACTGACATAATCATACTCCAATCCATCAAAGGTATAATAATGTCGATCTCCATAAATAGTGCATACAGCAGGACAGGGGTAACTAGTGCAATTGAATATCCCTCTCCGACAAACACTGTAAGGAAAATTAACAATCAGTATCTTCTCATAGCAGGGTCATTTTCTTTTTATTTTCAAGAAAAAGCTTTCTTGGGTTTTTTATTTCAAGTCGTACAGAAATTCATGAAAGGAAGAAAATTCTCAGACCTTGAAACACAGAGCTATTCTGTGGATTACTTCTGAAGTTATTGGTGATGCCATGGCAGAAAAGTGTTGAGCATTTTGCCATCAGCGCATATGTACAACAAAAATGCATAGGAAATGAATGCAAAATCTTGAAATTTTTATGGCTTATGCAAATATTTCCATCACTGCCTCCAGTATAGATAAGACACCATGCCACAACACGCTCATTCATAAAACATCGATATTCTATTTTTTCTTAAGAAATTTTGATACAAATCTGCACATATTCAATGCAAAAGACCTCCAGTTGCTAACTGTAAGATTTCAGGGTATCAGACAAGTATGGAATGAGTTTAAGAAATAAATGCTGATATTTTGTGGGATTACTTTTCCTGTCAGGTACATTCAGTGACTTACATGCATTTGTATGAAGGTAGTACTGACAGCCTCTAGCTTTGCTTGTGTAAGTGTATACTGGTCAGTTGATTTGCCAATGAAGTTTTTAACTGATTAAAAGCTGCCATGCCAAACTTTTTTTATTATTATTAAATATATACTTAACTGAAGATAGATATTTTGGCTAGCAAATTATAATGGATGAAAAACTGTTTTGCATCAACATGAGTCAGGTAAGGCTCCTTAAAAAAGATGCTGGGCGCTAGCTCATTTTCCAGTTCTAATGCTTTTTTATTTCCTTTGGGTTTTTTTATTGCTCATCTTCTTCCTATATAGTCGCTCATGCTGACTGGTAACTCACACTGCAAACAGTCCAGCTCCCAAAGGAGCAGACTATTTTCCGCTGTCATACGTTTAATTTCTTTTTTTTTCTTCTTGGTTGTCTTTCAAGATATTCTGTTCTCCAAAATGCCAAATGTCTTTTCTTTCAGAGATTAACTGATATGTGTGGAATCAAGCATTTGTTCTTGACTGCTTTTTAACTTGGATGCCTTCTGCTTCCTTTTCAGACCTGAAGAAGCACTCACCCAAAAGTCTGCCTACTCTTCCAAGTCTGTTAGTGAGCCTAATAAAAGATATAACCTGTAACTGACTATAAACAAGCATATACATTTTTGATTTTCAATGTACTCAACATGTTTTCTGTATCAGTTTCACTTTGTGGCTAGACCCAGATGATTTGGAAGTATGCAAATTGCACGTCACTCACCAGGTGTAACATGGTGTAGCTATCACTTCTCCTGACAGGAATTCCCTGTCTTTCCAGGTGCATGGACAACTGTCAGGAATATAACATTTCCCTCTATGCTCAGCCATCCTTCAAAATAAAAGAATTATTAAGATGAAAGCATAAATTCACAAGTAGATCAACATAACTGAATGTGTAGTGTATTGTCTAAACCCTGCCAAGGGCAACCAGTCTTCCATCCAGCCAAGGACAACTGTTTCAGCAACAAAAGCTGTCTGTATCAAATGATCTCCACTGTGCACAGCTGGAGACCTCGCAAAGCTCACAGCTGCGGCTCTCCTTCTACCTCGAAAGGGGTATGTTGGTGTGGGGCAGCAGCTCCTATCCAAGAGCGCAGGTAATGTAGGTATTCCTTCCTGCAACTGCAGAGCATCTGTGTGTTATGCACGCTGCTGAGGCTGCAGCCAGGCTGCCCTTCCCTCCCTGCTGCTCCCTCGTCCTCCTGTCCCAGGGATGCAGCCGGACTGATGTGCCTGCTCCTCTGCGCAGAGCAGCAACCGTTCTGTTGTGAGCACAGGATAGTGAGCTGGGCTATGGCAGCTGTTGCAGAGTTAGCAGGACAAAAGAAACACAGTTTACGAAGTAGTAGTCTAGGTGAGACAATTACTTGGGCAGTAATCAGGAACACAGATGGTTTACATTACGATTTTTTTTCATGTTTGCTTCTACACTCAGATAAACTATTCTGTGCAAGTAGTGGGAGTCATCTCCTGTCCAGAGGGTCCCAAATACCAGCCAATCAGACTGGTAGCAAGCTGGATATCTCATGGGATAGTGGAATCATGGTCTCAGGATAGAGAAACTGTGGGACTCCAACTGAGGAAGCATTGTAGCATGGAGCCTCACACCAGCAGGAAAGAGAAGAGGGCTCTCAGAGACAAAAGAAAGAGTTGACCTTTTAACTGTGATTGTATATCTGCAAAAATTTATAGAACAATAGCTTCAAAATTAGAGGGGTGATACCACTGGAATTTAAAAAGCAAAAAAATATGCAGAGTTAAACTGTGAAAAATATGTATATGGCTTGTGCTCCAGCTTGTTCTGCCAAAGCTTACCCAGGGGGGCAAATGCAGCCACTTGCACAGGGTGGTGAGGGGACACAGGAGAAGTTCATGGCAAGGTTTGCACAAGAGATCCCGCAGTTCACACCCGCTGCTGGTAATCCAGGGACAGGAGATTTGCAGTCATAGTAGATTTTTCCTTCAGGGCATACGTGAACTTCAAATGCAAAATGCAGGTTAAATGAGATCAACTGCTCTTTTACACTGAAGGTTTTCTATTTGTTTTTGTTTACTATCTATTCATTTTAATGCACAGTTATCCTACATTACAGTACACGTAAGAATACAATCTGAATAAAAGTCTATAACTTCATTTGTATTACAGAGATATAAAATTAATATATGTTTTAATGTTAAAAAAAAGACCAAAACTTAATATTAAGCATCTGGGTCTATGCACCCTGGATCTGATACACAGCCCATTCTTAAAGATGGAGCAATTATGCCTTTAATCTTTAGAAGAGTGGCATAATTTTCAGTGTACTGAAATCCCTTCTAAATCCATTAGAAATTCATTAAAAATTTACTTTCTAGAAATCAAGATCTTAAGGCTTCCTAAACATGGCTAGTGAGCCTAATTTTATGTATTCCCATGAGAACATATTGACCTACACTTCAGATGTAATTATTTCTTTTTTTAATTTCCCAAGTGACTTAGTAGTACAACATGTGCTACAGAAAAAGGAAAAAGAAAAAAACAAGACAACTTGTGTTCCTAACATCCTATTTTAAATATGCCATGACGTTAACTATCTCATAATGAAAATACACCAGGAGAAAAGCAAATGACTATTCAATGTCAAAAACTTTCTCTGTGCAGCTGTAATATGAGACAAGACTATAAATTACCTGTATTTTCTGTAGTTGCTTCAATACATTTCACTGTTCCATTCAAACACTGACTGGAAAAGAATAGCAAACCCATCTTTATTCAACGGGAAAATGTTTTGTAGCCACCATTTTAAAAAAGATAATACAACTTAACCCAATTTAAAGAACAGAAATCAGGAGGAGAAGGATTAAAATCCGAAAGCATGAGTTCTGACTAACATTTTGTTGGTGTTTTCTAACCACTATTCTGTAATGAGGGCCCAAACTCACAAAGGTGTTTATGTACTATTTAATTGCCTAACTTTCACTGAAATAAAAAAGAAGCTGGGTATGTCAGCCTCTGTGGGAACGTAGGGCCAGGTGATTCAGGATGCCAGCAGTGTAACACAAAACCTTATCCACCTTGGTGAATATGGAACAACACAGTATGCAAATTTCCTGTTGCACAGACGTTAGGATACACAGCTTGATTCTTTTTATGATAAAATACAGAATTGCAGAAAAACACATTCGACAATAAACCTAGTCCTCATTTTTTCCTTTTCCTTAAAAAAAAGTTGTGAAAGAAACAAAGAGGCATAGGCATATGCAGAGGCAGGCTATGCAGAGGCATAGCAATGGCAGAAAAATGAAGCCCCTACTCTCACCTCTTGAACTACATGATTACCAAGCTTCAGTTATAACAACTATAATATATGAGACCTCAGCAAGAATCAACCTTGGCAGTCAAGTCACAGACATGATTTTAAATCAGCAGGTTGAGAGCATTTCTTGTAAAATGAACAAGTTCGACCAGGAAACCTGTGAGGTTTCCCCACTTGTTTCAGTGAGGTCAGGATTCCATCATGAATTAATAATACAAAATGACACAAATATAACTCCCTGCAAGCCTTTGTTTGAAAGACTTTCCGAAATAGAATCACATTGTTTATTCTTCCAAAACCAGCCTCATATTGCTATCATAATGCCCCCAGGTCTAAGAACAGGACTGCAATCTTAAAACACACAATGTGTGTGTTTTGAGATACTCTTTAGTCCCTGGCTTACAGAATTTTCCAAATATCTTCTTGTTAAAATAAGCAGGTACATAATCCAATTTATATTAGGCTCCCTTTTACTAAGTGTGTAACAAAAATAAAATCTTGATACAATAGACCTTCATTCTATGTGAAAAAATTCTCAAGGCTCTTGAGTAGCATCCAAACTATGATACATGAAAGATCTCTTAGTGCTCAAACCTACCAGGAGCCTGTTGGCGTAGGGAGGATTTCTCCAGGCTGGAGGGCTTTGCCCTTGTAATGACAATGACAGGCAGATCTGTTAAAAGAATATTTAAGCATGTAGATACAAAAGCAAGATGAAATGGGATTTAAGGGCAATCTGTTTATCAAGCTATTATGATAAGCAAGCCTTATAATTCATTAACTCAATCTTTATATTTACAATATACTTCTAAAGGCAAAAACTAAAGGATGACACTCTGACTGTATTGAAGTCAGTGGCAAAACTCCTAGCATCTTCAACAAAGCCAGGATTTTCCTCAATCTCTGTATTATTTATTTGCTGTTTCTATGCATTAGTCTTACAGAAAGGAGCTTTTCTTCCCAGTTATGGGAGTAGAATGGCAACATGTAGTTCCCATTCAAAGTACTGTCAAAACCATGGGACAGAGGAATTACCATAGCAAAATCCATTAACTCTGTCTGTGATAACAGCCAGATGGGATAGAAGTAGCAACAGAATTCCCTAGAAACCATGCAAAAATATGGGAATACCAAGTTACCTCACACTCTTTAATAGTTTGAAACAGTCTTTATCCCTACAGTATGAACTTTACTGATCTTTCCAAAACACGTCACAATGAACAGCAATAACTCTGTACAATCTTGAAATTTATATAAATACTCATTCCAGTTTTTAATTCAGTACCTGAACTCAGTAACTCCCCATGGTCGTAAGCTGTAAAATTTTGGTACACAATGTACAAAAACTATTTCCTTTCATTGACCATTTCCTTCCATTTAACTGAAGGGGTTTGCGTTGTGAGACAGAAAAAAGACACTCCTAGCCACTCTCTCCATACTATCCCTGACTTTATGGATTGCTACGACATAGTATCCTTCTCATTTTTTCTTAAGTGTTAAAAACAAGGTTTTCATGTGAAAATGCTTTCCCATGAATTAAAAAAGTTTCATCACCCTTCCCTAAAGCACTATGACATATCTTCTCTGAAGTGCAGTAGATGGCTGTACACACAGTAGCAGATGAGGCCCCACTATTGATTAGTACAAAAGAATATGAAATCTTCACATATTGCTTGCTATCCTGTTTAGGCAGTCTACATCTTGAGGGAAACAGCAGAAAAACTGCTTTAAATCTTGATGGAAAGACGAAAATGTGCCTACGCATATATTCTATTTTCTTATGACTTACATTGATACACAAAAGTTGACCGACTCTTCAAAATATTTCCCATCAGGACAATTACATCCTTCTGCACAGTCATCACCACAGATATTTGCCATAGAAAGTGAAGCACAGGAGTGTTTACAAAAAGAAGAGCACTGATGATAAAGCATACCACTGTGACACATCACAGCTGGAGGAGAGAGAGGGAGAGAGAAGGGAGAACAACATACTCTTAAAATGGGAAAAATAGAAAACAAAGCAGTATATCATGGGAGTGCAAAACAGCAAAGCAAACTGGTCTTTTGCTGCACTGGGGTGAGTTAAAATGCATGGGAAAAATATGCTATTTTACTGATTTATAGAATCATAGAATAGTTTGGGTTGGAAGGGACCTTTAAAGTTCATCTAGTCCAACCCCCCT